ATTAGTAGAGTGGTAGTTGTAGCAGTAGTAGTAGTAGTAGTACTAGTATTAGTAGAGTGGTAGTTGTAGCAGTAGTAGTAGTAGTAGTACTAGTACTAGTAGAGTGGTAGCTGTAGTTCTAGTAGTAGTAGAAGTAGTGGTAGCATTAGTTCTAGTAGTAGTAGAAGTAGTTGTAGTAGTTGTAGTTCGTCAACAATGGGTTTTATTTTGAAGGTTTCAGCGGATATCCTGTTCCGCTGACATGAGGCTGTTTTGACATTAGCAGAGAAGCTAACCGGAAGCTAACAGCGGGGGAGAAGTTAGAGAGCTGGTTCTTCACCGGAGCCGCGTCACATGTTGAGTGATGGAGGAGCTCGTCAGATAACGGGACACCGCGGACACGTGACGCCTCGGCTGGATGCAACGGTAACTAGTTACTCATCGGTAATCTGGTTAACAGCGATTTGGTTGAGCGTTAACTAGCTGTTAGCTTAGCACGAGCCCTGCGCCTCGAGGAGTCCGTTCAGGCAGAAACCCGTTGACGTGTCGGTATCAGCTGCACTGAGAGTGTCGGTGGTGTCGGTGGTTCTGTCTCTGTCGGTTTCCTCTCGTTGTGTTTGGTTTTAACTTTAATTCTCGTCACACTGTTGCTGCTGCTGTCAGTTTCTCCCGGTGCCTCCTCCCACAACGCCCCTCTCAGCCAATTGAGTCGCGAGGTGGTCTTGACTGACAGCGCTGCCGACCAATAGCAGCCCCGCCTCAGACGCGCTGGCTCTCGTCGGCGGCGCTCGGCAGCGTGCGTCTGTTTCCGGCGCAGGAAGCTGCCGCTGGTGCTGATGATGCTGATGATGCTGAGGAGCGTCGCTGAGCTGTAGCATCCGTCCGTCGCTCCGATGTTCGTCGACATGTTGTGTTGTGTGCGGCTGCATCACTGTGTTGACCTGTGTGTAGGCGGCCTGCTCCTGATCCTCGCGGGGCTGCAGCAGGTGGAAGCCGCCGCCGCCGCCGCGGAGATGAGCCACTTGAACTGGAAGCCGTTCATCTACGGAGGCATGGCCTCGATTGTCGCAGAATTCGGTACGTGATGCACCACAGCCCGCTGACGATCCCGTCATGTGTCCGGCTGCTGCATGCAAACAGTGTTCACATGTTTTATATGTAGAGCATAGGGGGGGAGGGGGGGGGGGGGGTGATGCATCCAGATGAAATCACATCAAACTGTCCTGTCACTGCAGAGTCACTTCACCATTCATTCTGCCTGGTTGTTGGTAAATGTCCACATTGTCTCTTTATTGAAACAGTCTGTTTGGATTCCTAGCTCCTGTTGATGCTGTAACGTTTGTGCCTCTCATCAGGGCGATTTCAATCCATCGATCATTTTGCACTTGTGTAATATTTATTCAGACCATTCTATCCTGGATGCAAATATACGTCACCTATTTTCTGGACTTGAGCCAAAATTGTTATTTTTGTCCATATTAAGGTTCCTGTCTTCCTGTTAATGAACAATTCAAACCAGCTGCTAATTCTCATCTGTCATCCTTGTGCAGATAAAACAGGAGACTAAAACTAATAATAATACATTTCATAAAAATATTTAATACATAATTATTACTGTTAAAATATCTACTACCTACCTCATACTACTATGAAGTACTCAATACACACATGCAAACCACAGTAGAAAATCCTCCATGTCTAATTATTGTCAAGTCTGTGGTATTTCTGTAACTCCACTACCTTCATTTTCTTTTGAAAGTCAATCTTTCTTCTTCTTCTAGATGTTATTATTCTATTTTCTCATTCTCAGGGACATTTCCCATTGACCTGACTAAGACCCGACTGCAGGTCCAGGGTCAGTCGCAGTACACAGAGGTGCGCTACAGAGGCATGTTCCACGCCCTCTTCAGGATCGGCAAAGAAGAGGGAGTTCGAGCGCTGTATTCTGGGTAAGGAACGTTTTAATAATAACAGCCTGAAATCACAGTCAAACCAGATCAAGTACAAGAAGACAGACTTTTGGGTGCATGTTAAAAACCGTTGTGACAAAAGGAGATTGAATCTTAATGAATCCTGGAACAGGTTGGCCTGAGAAGGATCCAGTCAGCACATTCACCTGTGTCATGTTACCATCACTGCTGATCAGAGCCAATTAAAACCTGAGTGTAAGACATTAAGTAGTTTAACCAGCGAGTGACTGCCAATGTCATCCATCATCATTGCAGACAGAAGCCAGGTGAGGGAAGGTGCTGGTGGGTTTTTTGGCTCGTGGAAAAGGGTCTCAGGCTTCAGTCTTAAGTTGAAACCTTTGAAACCATCATAAGAACTTCCTCAGACGTTCCGTACAAGTGACTCTTAGTTCCAGGAAAGTTAATTGAGTCTAAGATGCTTTGTTCTTCCCGGGGAGAGACATTTCGGTTTAAATTCTTAACGTGCTGTTAAATAAATGTACCCACTTCTCTTTTCATCTCTCTCGCAAATATGTTCCATGCTGATGCAAACAGCGTGTGTTCAGTACAATATGCAGTAATGAGCTTTTCACAGGGAGCTGCTACACTTGGTGGGTGGTTGAACTGTGACTTTGTGGAATCCAGTCCCAGGTTTGAAAGAAGCCCAGTGGGACAGAAGATGTATTCCATGTTGAAAGCTTTGCTGTTTCAAAGCACCGGGGATGATTCACCTGTTTTGTATTTATACTTGTTAATTGTTGCTTTTGGGTCGAAGACAAAACGTCTGGATCTCACACTTTAGTTCTCCAGACAAGTTCACAACGACACAGAAATCTCTGAGGCGTTCAGGTGAGGGGTGGGGCAGCAGGCAGAGACAGGAAGTAGCATATTCCGCTGCAGAGATCACGTGTTTTTGTTTAAAGCACATTGACGCCGGTGTTATCACCAAAAGTTCTCTTGACATCATCTTGGGCGATCATCAATCGTCCACACGCCCACTAGCTCACAGTGAATATTAGAATTTCCTAATGTATTCTCACCTGAGGGTGTCGGGGGGCTGGCAGGAGAAACTCCAGAGAAAGTCCTGAGCCTCTCACTCGGACATTTACGTTCTCACACACAGCCCCTCAGGAGGATGTGACGAGATGATCTGGAGTTCAGTGCTCGTCTGAAAGCAGCTTTGATGTACCTTTCCTTTCAGGATTTCCCCGGCTCTGTTGAGACAAGCTTCCTACGGGACAATCAAGATCGGAACTTACAACACTCTGAAGAGGCTGTTTGTCACTCATCCAGAAGGTGGGTGTCGATGCTTTTAACTCTGATATCCTGTCGTCCTCTTCTTATTCTGTCTTTCATCTGAAGGGTCTAAACTTACAGTGTGGCAGTCATTTCTGTTTGCGAAGACCAAATGATGTTGTTTTTAGTGGAACCTGACCAACGTGTGTTTGAGGCAGACGCAGATTTAACCTTGGGCACGAGTGAAACTGGAAACTAGTTTGGATCCACTCGATATAGCGACACTTCAAAGTGCTCAAACGTGACCCAAGCTATTTTTATTTCAAGGATTCATCAAGTATATTAAGTTTATCTTATTTGTAGGACAACTAATCAACCCAGAGGGCTTTAGTGCTTCTACATTCTACTGTGGAATAATATATAAAACAAAGTCCCACATATTAAAGTCAACTTTGCTGTAGTTTCAACAAAACTTCCTTCTTCTTCTTCTTCTTCTTTCTCTTCTATCACATTCTTCTCTTTCTGTTTGGACTCAAAACATATTTTGTACCTTGCACAACACAAACGCCTCACATGCCTTCTCTCTTCTTTGTGTTGGGGAAAATGCACACGCATGTTTTGGTGGCAGGTTGCTTCTGTTTACAGTGCGGACATGGAAGTTAATGACATTTTGTTTTTAAATGGCTTCAAGCTCAAGATTTCAATTCTGAAATGTAGAAAAACACATTTTCCTCTGGGAACCAACAAAGTGTAATCACATTAGTGAATTGCAGCATCAGAATGAGATCATACTTTGTAAAAGATGTGGGATCAATGCACGGACACAGGATCTACGCAGCAATCTGCCCCGATGATCCTGGTGCAGTGACATTACCCAGACTTCTCTCTGCAGCAGGAACACTGTGTCTGCATTTGAGTTTATTTCTGTGGACTTGATTGTTTGCTGTTTCCGCTCTGCATGCCCTGTGCCTCCATGCTGCCTCTGTGTTTTGAATGCTTGTTTTGATGCAGGCTTGGGTTTGCCCTGTGGTTGTGGTGGGATCGAACGCCCGGTCCCCGGCCCCAAAAAATGAGCGGCGCGAGGACCGCCACACTAACTGTTGGTCAGATTGATCATGGATTACTGTAACTATTGTTCAATCTCCTGTACTTACCGTCTGTAGACACCATTCTGGGTTACTACTAATGAGATCTACCACTTTCTAACACTTGACAAACTCTGCTGGAGCTAACGGCTAACAGTTGTTTCTGCTCATTTAAAAACCTGTTTACATCGTTCAGTCTCTTTAGCAGCATTTACAACTAAGTGTGAGTTTGTTTTGATCTGCTCGGAGTGTCACACGGGAGGAGTTTGAAGCATCAGGAGCGAGTGTGTGAATACGTTTGTAGCTGTGATCACGTAAACTGATCAGGAGACGGTTAACTCCACCCGTGTGTTCCTCCAGCTGGATTACAACAAACGGAAACTTGTGTTTAGACGTAATGATTTCTAATTACTGACAATAATAATAATGTATGATTTAATCACTGCACACTAAAGAAGCTGTAGTTATTAGAGATTTAATTTTTATCCTCGTTTTAAATTTTTAGTTTATTTTCAGACTTAGTTCTGTGACTGTGAGGATCAAACAGGCTGCAAATGAAATGTATGTATGTATGTGGACTCTTCACATGTTACTTTCAACACGTTGTCTTATTTGGGTCAAAGCAAACTGATTAAAACTCTATTCTGTTATTTCTAGATGTAAAGATAAACAACATTCGATTATCATTATATTTTATAGAAGGATTTTATTAAAGATCACGAGCACAAACAAGATCAAGTCGTGTTTTCAAAGTGACACCCGAGAGTCTGCATGACATCTGTATTTAAAAGTTAAAACCGTAGCAGATCTCAGCTGCAGAGTTTATTTAATAAGGTTTCTTGTGTCTTGTCTGACAGATGAGACGATGGTCATCAACGTCTTCTGTGGTGTCGTGTCTGGAGTCCTGTCCTCCTCTCTGGCCAATCCCACCGATGTCCTCAAGGTGATTCCCTCAAAACCTAAACTTCAATCTGTGGACAAATATCTCAAATAGTGATTAATTAAACCTTTATTAAATAGTAGTTACAGACTGCTGTACAGGATAAATAGCATTGGACATTTATTGTATTGCTGTTTTGTCACGTTGCTTCTTGTGTCGAGCTCTAACTGAGAAATGCTGTCGCAAACAGATCTTCAGATACAGAATCAGTCGTAGTGTTCATTCAGCTGGTGTGTTTGTTTCAGATCCGAATGCAGGCGCAGGGCAGTCTGCTCCAAGGCAGCATGATATCCAACTTCATCAATATCTACCAGACAGAGGGCACCAGAGGGCTGTGGAGAGTGAGTGCTGGTTCACTCTGTGTGGGGATGTGTTTATGTGGCTCACCAGGTGCTGAAGCAGATATACTGTTCATTATTTCTTTATTTTTTAATTAAGCTACAGCGCAGAATAAATCTCTCTATTAAATCCTCAGTAGAAAAAATGAGGGTTTTCTGTAGAGCCGACAGAATTTCTCAGCCTCTGATACAAGAATTAAAACTTTTTAATAACTTAAACATTCCCTTAAACTTCCTGAGCATTTGAACAGAAGCAGGGTTACTGATAGAGCTCGTTGTCTGCTGTTTCTGTGAGATCTGTAATATCAGTACAATCAGACTTGTCTTCTTCTCCCTCCTTTACCTCAGGGAGTCATTCCCACAGCACAGCGAGCCGCCATTGTCGTCGGGGTGGAACTTCCTGTCTATGACATAACAAAGAAGCACCTGCTTCGCTCTGGCGTCATGGGAGACACCATTCTGACCCATTTCATGTAAGTTAAGTTAAATTATTCTTCAACTCCGTCTTTTTAACCCATTGAGGCGCTGATTTGAAAACTTCCTCTAGAACGATGTTTGAAAACAACCACAGACAAACCTCAGGGTTTTCTGAAGAATTTCCAAAAACGTTCGTTTCTCATTTTCTCCGCGTCTTTTGAACAGTTCCAGTTTCACGTGCGGCTTGGCCGGAGCTTTAGCCTCCAACCCTGTAGACGTGGTGCGGACTCGTATGATGAACCAGCGAGTTCTGTCGGGAAGCCCCATGTACAAAGGAACTCTGGATGGACTGATGCAGACGTGGAAGAACGAGGGCTTCTTCGCTCTCTATAAGGGCTTCTGGCCCAACTGGCTACGACTGGGACCTTGGAACATCATCGTATCCTTTTCATAGAAACACATTTCCAGATCAAACGCCTGGAGGACGATCTCTCTGGATTCACCGTTCACCAGACTGTTTCACAAACATCTTAAAATATATAAATATATGTCGTGATTTGAATCAGGGAAGTTTTCCTTCACAGTAACTCCTCAGTTCTTCATCACCTTCGAGCAGCTGAAGAAGCTCCCGTTTTAACCTCGGAACAGGAAGTGGGACTGCGCTGGTCTGTGCGACTGTCAGGGGGATGTGGAGTGTGAGCACGGCAGCACCTGGAGTTTAGACACCAGTATTTTCACACTCCCCCTCTAAATCCATACACACGATACAACACAGTATCCGTCATCTGCCCATGCTTTTCAGAACCTAATGTTCATTTCTGCTTCTCACGTGTTTATATTTATTGTCACTGGCTTGTGTTTTTTAACTGTCACCCTCGATCACCTTCGACACTCCCCGGGCAGCCGAATGTCTGCTTAGTGTTTGTATCCTCGAGCCGCTGAGAAAGACGGAGTTTAACTCTGGAAGTCGACTCTCGTGAGAGGTGAGGCTTGTGATTGTTTGCTCAGGATTCATTCACAGAAAAAACATGGGAAATGCATTTACACACGTTGGATCAGACTCTCAGTCTGTGGCGTTTAATAGAGAAAGAAAGGAATATGAATTCACCAGGCCATAAGCACTGCATGAACGTGGAACCTGTTCAGTAAATTACTCCGATTTTCTGTTGAATGTCGAGGACTTGCATGGAAACATTAGACAGAAGTTGACTGTTACAAGTTTTGCTGTGGAAAACTCGTTGTTTTTGTTTACAGCAAATCGATCCCTGCTTCAGCCCTTATCTCCAAAATCTCCTCATCTTTTCTACGTGCATGGCTCCTCGTTTTCATCCCCGACGTTCGTGTTCTTCAAATTATTTCAGTTTTCAATCCGCTCCTCGCTCACAGTGAATTTTCTGGACGTTCTCCTGCTGCGTTCTCACGGAGGCTCACTCACTTTGCACACACGTTTCCAGCGGGCTGCACGAAAGGTTCCACAAAATTTAAACAGTTGCTCTGGAGAATTTACAGAAAATGTTGAGACTCCCGTGCAGGTCTGAAAGCAGCTTTACTTACACGTTCTCAGCTCTAACGCCAAGAAACACACTGAACACATGAACTTCTGGATCAGTCCATAGAGGATCTGTTCTGTTTATCAGAACATCCATTCTGTGATCTTGATCTTTGAAAAAGAAGAATGTGAAATCTGAACCAAAGCCTCTGAAGAGAAAAGGGAGACACGTCTGTCTTAATCGTTCACAACCAAAACATCCGCTTTTTCTGTTTAATTCGTTTTTGAGGTTTTAAATTTATTCTTTATTTTTAAGAAAACACTGAGTCCAGACAGGTGACAGATGTTTCCCGTTGTGTTTCTCATTCCACAGCTCGAATAGGAAAGAGGCAGCTGCTGGAGATGAACAGGGCTTTTGTGCCAAACGTGTTTTTACCAAACTTGGTTAAATGAATTTACAGAAGATTCTTTTGGTTTTGGTTTTGTTTGCAGCTACTTTGAGGTAAAATTTGCTTTGCAGGCGAAACACTCCTGAAGGAATTTTAAGTCTGCGTAGTTAGAATAGAAAAGGACGAGTCGTTCGAAATCAACATATTCAAGTTTTTGTGAATCACATTATCTTAACAACCAAAAGCATTTTAAATAAGTTGTGGTTTTAATAGTTCATGTGCTATCATGACCCCCCCCCCACATCATGTTTTAAATGTCAGATTTTTTTATTTTCAAGTATTTTTACTTTATTCTTGAAGTTTTATTTTTGAAGGTGGTGAGTGGAAGGATTCTCGTCCTGGCCGTCGTTGTTGTCGTTGTTGTGCAGCGTTGATCGAATGTTTGACTCAAAATTGTCTTGAGACACAAATCAACGTGAATTGGTGAATTCTACATTTTAACTCGTGCACTTTGAAAACAGCCCCTGACGTGTGTCGGCTGTGAGCAAACGAAGCTGGTTGACTTTACTGTTGTGTTCGATCGACGGTCTCTCTGTGGGGAGTTTGCATGTTCTCCCCGTGTCTGCCTGGCTTCTCTCCCACGGTTCAAACATGTGAAGCTCATGTTAATTGGAAACTGAATTTCCCATAAGTGTGAATGTTTGTCTCTGCGTGTCGGCCCTGTGATTGGCTCCGGTCTGCCAACACGTCACAGCCATTTTGTTTTTAGGTGTACTTTCCTGTTTTTCATTTTTCCGGTGTGAATCTGCAACGTCTTTTTAAAGCAACACTCGCTCGATCAACAGCGCCCCCTGTAGCCACACGTGGTGATTTATTCTGCTGCTGTAACAAACTGTTCAGATTCTTCATGTTTTAAAGTTTCTGCTGAACATTGGAGATAAACTCTGGTTGTTAAGAACTGATCTCAGTTCAGCTTCACTCTTCAGCTGATGGAGACGCTCAGTCACTTGTTCTCTCAGGAGATGAACCCACTCAGCAGAGAGAGAGAACAGACTCAGGGAGCGAAGGAGGAAACGTTCTCCACGTTCTCACTTTTTAATCAAACTGAGGATTTAAGGTCAAATAAAAGTTGCAGTGTTGCTTTAAACAGTTTGGACGCAGATCAGATCGTTTGCTACTGAAGAGTTGTGTTGGTTTGAGTTGTCGCTGTGACTCTGAGTGTTGGACTCCAGAGAACTGTGTGTTGTGGGTTAGTGTGGGTTAGTGTGTGTGTTAGTGTGTGTGCGTTGTGTGTTAGTGTGTGTGTGTGTCGTGGGTTAGTGTGTGTGCGTTGTGGGTTAGTGTGTGTGTGTGTGTG